CAAGTTTTAATTGAGCAAGAAGGTGGGAGTTCCTCCAAGAGTGATAAACCAGCTCTGAGTAAGGAAAAAGGTCATGAAGAAGAGATGCAAGGTGAAAGGGGGAGCACTGATCAAGAGGAGGATGAGGAGGAACATCATGGTTCCACGGCTAGTCAAAGGCCTGAAAGGGACATCATTAAACATGCTCGGTTCAGAGATCCAAAGTTTGTTACTACCTTCTCGTGCTACTTTGCAGCTCCATTAGATGAAGATGAGCCAACATCTTATGATGAAGCAAAAGGTGTTGACGAGTGGGAAAACGCAATGAAGGAGGAGATGAATGCTCTCATGAAGAACGAAACTTGGGATTTGGTTCCAAAACCCAAGAATGCCCAACCTGTTTCTTGTAAATGGGTGTACCGGATCAAGCGCAAAACAGATGGAAGCGTTGATAGATTCAAAGCAAGGTTGGTTGCTCGGGGATTCTCTCAAAAGTATGGAGAAGACTATGATGAGACCTTCAGCCCTGTAGCCAAGATGACTACGATACGTTCTCTCTTATCTTTGGCTGCAAGTTCTGGTTGGAAGTTATGGCAATTAGACGTGAAGAATGCTTTTCTATATGGAGAACTTGACAAGGAAATCCTGATGGAGCAGCCACTTGGTTTTATATCACGAGAGCATCCTGATTATGTGTGTAAGCTGAAGAAGGCCTTGTATGGGTTAAAACAAGCTCCACGAGCTTGGTATGGAAAGCTTGCTCAGTTTCTTCAGTTCTGCGGTTATGTGGCATCAAACTCTGATCCGAGTCTATTCTTCAAGAAGAATGGAGGAGTCCATGTGGTAGTTCTCCTTTATGTGGATGATATGATAATTACCGGGAATGATGATGCAGAAATTACTCGTTTACAAGAGGATATGTCGATAAGGTTTGAGATGAAGAAGTTGGGAGAGCTCAACAACTTTCTCGGTTTGGAGGTGGAAAGGGTAAAGGGTGGAATATTCATCGGCCAACAAAGCTATGCAAGAAGAATCGTTGAGAAGTTTGGAGTACACGAAGGAAAGACACGCTCTACTCCAATGGACGTCAACACAAAGCTTAAACGCGATGAAGGGTCCTTGCTACCTGATCCTCGGCCTTATCGCTCTCTTGTAGGAAGTCTTTTATACTTAACCATTACAAGACCTGACATTGCCTTCGCGGTAGGTCTTGTAAGTCGGTTTATGCAGGCACCAAGGAAGGCACATCTAGAAGCGGCAAAGAAGATATTGAAGTATGTGAAGACAACTCTTGGCATGGGTCTGGTGTACAAGTATAATGCCAAGGTCTCTCTTTATGGCTTCACGGATGCTGACTTTGATGGAGATCTTGATGATCGGAAATCAACTTCAGGCTATGTGTTCTTATGTGGGGACACAAGTGTCTCATGGTGCAGTAAGAAGCAAGCAACGGTGTCGTTATCTACAACTGAAGCAAAGTATAAAGCTTCAACTCTAGCAGCTCAAGAGTGTATCTGGCTTCGGAGACTCCTTGAAGATCTGTTCGAGCCAATCAATAAGCCAGTTGCAATTTATGGAGATAATCAAAGTGCGATCAAGCTGGCCAATAATCCGGTGTTCCATGGGAGGACTAAACACATTGAGTTAGAGCATCACTTCATAAGGGAGAAGGTGCTTGATGGGACAATTGAAGCTTTGGAAGTTCGAAGCGAGGACAACGTTGCGGATATCTTCACCAAGTCATTACCAAAAGGTCAGTTCGAGTTACTTCGCTCGAAGCTCGGGATGGCTGACAAAATCAAGTTTAAGGGGGAGTATTGAAGTTAAACTTGATTTTGGGTTAAGCTTAATTTTGGGTTTATAAAATAATCATTAGTTATTAGATTAAGCCCAAAATTAAGCCCAAGTTCTAGAATCTCTAGAAACATCACTAAAAATCATCATCTTTCTTAAGTGTTCTAGAGAATTTTATTAGTTAAATATCTAGATAATTGTATAGATAATTGTAGATATTGTAATTAAAAAATCTAGATATTATTGTAGAGAATTCTAGAGATTAGGAGAATGTTTGTAATAAGTGGAGCCTATAAATAGCCCACTACTCCATCAAAGAGAAGTTGAACAAATAAAAAAAAGAGTGTTCTTCATAAGTTCTCTTATTCTCTATAAAGTTCTTTCAAGTGTTCTCTAAGTGTTCTTTTATCTTTTTATTCATACTTAGAGGATCTTTGTTTCTTTCGGGTCTCTCGGGTATTACGGTCTTGGGCTAGTGCTAAGCACTATCGGTGTTTTCTTTATAAATTTTTAGCTCCATCTCCAAAGGAAGTCTCTGAACAACAGTACCAAAACACTGACTTCCTCAAACCAAACTTGGACTTGCATGCATAGCTTTCCCTTTTGAGAACGATGACGTGGGATTGCAGAGAAAATGTATATGTACACGTAAACATTAATGTTTTTAATTTAAAAACAGCGACGTGGCAAACCGAACCGAAAATTCTGTTGATTCGAAACCGAATCCAGTTTTATTCTTGAATGAGCGAATCCAATTGGAAAGATCTTTAACCAATTCGGCTTAGAACCATAATTTGAATCTTTATCGGTTAAGTTTTCAAACCAAATTTAGAATTGGATTGGGGTAAAAACTGTGGGGTTTAGAACCCTAATTTAATCTCTAAAGGAAAACAAGTTTGCATGAACTTGCAAATCTCCCATGCAATCTGACTTGGACTTGCATGCATAGCTTTCCCCTTCAATAACGATGACGTGGGATTGCAGAGAAAATGTTTTTAAATTTAAAAACAGTGACGTGGCAAACCAAACCAAAATTCTTTTGACTCTTGAATGGTATAACGAATCCAATTGGAATGGGGAACCGGTTGGGTTTAGAATCATAATTTGAATCATTCTCGGTTAAGTTTTCAAACCAAATTTACAATTGAATTGGGGTCAAATCGGTGGGTTTTACCCTAATTTCAATCTCTCTAGTTCGTTTGGCTAAAGAACCTTCTTCGTTCGGTCCTGGAAATCAGATCATTGTTACCACAAAAGATAAAAAAGATTCTGAAGGCACATGAGATAGACGTTATTCTAGTTTTTTTTCTAAATAACTAGAATAATCAACTAAATTTATTATTACTCACACAACTTACTAAATTTATATAGCTTAACTTCCACGTCCAATTTATTACAAGTAATATCCCGTAGTAGAATTGTTCGACGTCGAAATGAATGTATTACCATTAGATTTCGTAAACTACAAGTAAAACTATAGAGTAAGGAAAAAGTAAACATTCATGACAACAATGTCAGGATAAATAGAGGAAATGATGGGAAAGTTGAGAAAGATCATGAAATGAATGTGATCTAAATTGAATATCAGAAAAGATGGCGACATGTCCCAAATCTTTCATCTTTCTAATTTTATATTCCAACATTATTGCGATGATATCCCTTTTGTTCTTGCTGACTTGAGAGTCTTTTTCATTGCCATTTTTATAACACATGAGAGATTGAGAGGTTAGCTTTGTTGCATAACGACAACGACACTTGTGTTATTTATGTGATAATCTGACTGTGCATGTCGTTAATTCCTAAACGAACAGTTAATCTTAGAATATGGTGAGGCCATATATAATTTCTAGGAATAATCGCAATATATATATATATATATATATATTGCTACACCTAATATAGTATACATACATATAAAAAATAACAGTAATAAAATAATTTCAAATGCTATGATTGATAATAGTATTCTCGAGTTGAAGACTAGACACTAGAGCATGTGAAAAATCTAGCCTCATCCCTCCACTTGAATCTAGTACATGATCATGATCTATCTGCCTTTAAGAGGTTCTCATCTGGATTCTACAGATTAAACTACGGACTTAAAGTGTATGTACTTAACTTTTGGTTATCAATTTGTGAATATAGTAGTGTTATCAATCATATGTTTTAGTTTTAGTGTATTACATTTTCGATTTAGTTTAAGAATTTGGTTGACCGAAATCATAGCATAACTTTTATAAACTAAAAAGTAACATAAAGTGAATAAAATGTTTCGTTTGTATTTTTCTCTCCGATCATCTTTGAAGTGTCTCTGGTCTTAATGAACTTTTGGCTAGGTAAATCAATTAAATGCATGGTTCCTTCGGCTGCCACATCTCTCATAATTTCATACTCAAGGTAGGAATAGAAATGTTCCGTCCTAAAACCTTCACTATCAATCGCCTCTAAGACTGGTTCATGATTCTGTGTCAATTATAGATATCTTAGTTTATCCAAAACTCATTATGTGTCAATTGATTTTCTCTATTTGTTTCTATTTCTCTTGTTTCCTTTAAAAGAATGTTCTACAAATTGGGCGTCATGACGTCTAGGTGGTTGACGTCAGATGTTTAACCGAGTTAAAAATTTGGTCAGAGATAAGGTGAACGCTCGATTAGCTAATTTTAAATTCAATTGTGTCAAAAAATATGGGAAGATTTTCATTGAGTCGACCAAAAATCCAAATATTTAAGAAATTTTGAAAGAGTTCCTAAGAGTTTGCCTAAAAAATGTTAGATTAACAGTCTGATATATAAATTTGTCAATAAATAAGTTTGAATTTTTTTTTTGTAAAGTTTGCTAAAAATTAGAAATCAGCCAAGCAAACAATAGACAAACTGAAATCCAAATCTACTAAAATTTTAAAAATTTAAAGAAAAAATTTGGTAGACTAATAAACCAAATTTATTATTTACTCACACAAGTTACTAAATTTATATACCTTAACTTACACGTCCAATTTCTTACATCGGTGAGATGTAGAGCCCTAATTTCAATTTCTCTGGTTGGTCTTCTTCCTCTATTTTTTCTTCCTCTAATTTTTCTCCGATCGGACTCTGATATTTCATCTCTGAGCGAGCTCATTCACCTTGAAATGTCGATTTACAAATTCAAATTTCGATTTATCAATAAAAACAAGCCAGTGGTCGTCCTCGGCGGCTATAATAAAAAAAAAAACTTTAATGAGTCGCCGACGACTTAGTGGAAACCACTGAACAAGTACAGTTTCACACAAATTCCTTCGAAACTTCCTCTCCTCTACAAGCCTTTCGCTTCTATATAAGGGACTTGTTGTTTCCTCAACCACTGTTATACTTTCATTCAAACTCTCTTATCTCTCTCATGGCGGCTGCTTCTTCTTCTTCTCGCGTTAAGAAATCCCATGTCTTTCCGAGCTTTCACGGACCAGATGTCCGTAGAGGCTTCCTCAGTCACTTACACAAATACTTTACAACCAACAAGATCACGGCGTTCAAGGATCAGGAGATGGAGAGAGGGAACACGATCGGACCTATGCTCGTACAAGCCATTAGAGAAGCGACAGTGTCGATCGTGGTGCTCTCGACGAACTACGCTTCCTCGAGCTGGTGCTTAGATGAGTTGGTTGAAATCTTGAAGTGCAAAGAAGTTTCAGGGCAGATCGTGATGCCGGTTTTTTACGAAGTTGATCCTTCTGATGTTCGGAAACAGAGGGGAGATGTCGGGATCGCATTCGAGAAAAGCTGCCAAGGGAGAACAGAGGAAGAAAAGCAGAGATGGAGCAGAGCTCTGGCGGATGTAGCAACCATAGCAGGAGAACACTCTATTAACTGGTTTGTTACTTTGTCTCTATTTTTGCTCAATGAAACAGAATCCTTTTTTTATCTTTCTTAATTCTTATGAAGCTGTTTTTGTCAGGACTGATGAAGCAGCGATGCTCGAAAAGCTTTCCAGAGATGTCTCGAACAAACTGAAAGTGGAATTGCTCAAGGAACAATTTAGGAGTCTCGATGTAGACCAGACTGGTTTCATATCTGTACCAGAGCTTCGATATGCGATGGAATCTATTGGGGAGAAAATAACCGGTGATGAAGTTAAAGAAATGATCCGAGAAGTTGATCTTGATGGCGATGGTCGCCTCAACTATGATGAATTCGCCAAGGTCATGATGGCTAAGTAAAGGATTCTTTCTTAGCCCTTCTTCTTAGAAAGCATTATCTTGTCTTAAAGTGAAACCTCATCAATGATTTAGAATGCTTTTGTCTTTCTTGATCGATGATTCAATATAGTGGATGTTTCTATAATCTAATAAGATTTTCTTTTGCTAGGATGAGTGATGAAGAACGTGCGAGGGCCAAAAAGTTTGCCACATGTGTTACATTGCCAAAGGAGGCAGAGGAAGAAATGAGGAAATTATTTATGTTTGGCGATATAGACAATGATGGTTTCATAACTGAAGCAGAGTTTCGATATGTGATGACAAGAGATGGGAGCCAAATAACCGATGATGAAGTTAAAAGTGCCATCCAAGGAGGTGATGTTGATGGCGATGGTCGGCTCAACTATGATGAATTCGTCAAAGTAATGATTAAGTGAGGGATTCTTAACCCTTCTTAGAAAGCCTTAACCTGAAGAGAAAAGAAAAATGTTTCTATAATTTAATAAGGTTTTGCTTTTTTAGGATGGTTGCGATGGTCAAAAATTTTACCACAGATGTTCCGCTGTCAAAGGAGGAAGAGGAGGAAATGAGGGGATTATTTATGTCTGGCGATGTAAACCAGGATGGTTTCATAACTGCGGCAGAGTTTCTATATGCGGTCACAAAAAATGGGAGCAAAATAACCGAGGATGATGTTAAAAATGCCATCCGAGCAGCTGATTTGGATGGTGATGGTCGTCTCAGCTTTGATGAATTCGTCAAATACAAGATGGCTATGTGAGAGATTCTTACAATGAATTTTCACCATGATGTGCAACGCTCTTGTCTTTCTTATAATCGACGTTCAATAGTGGAGTTTCTATAATCTAATAAGGCTTTACTTTTTAGGAAGAAGATTGAAGAAGCTGCGATGGGCAAAAATTTGGTCACAAATGTTAAATTGTCAAGCGAGGATGAGAAATCACTGTCGGAATTCTTTATGAGTTTGGATGAAGACAAGGATGGTTTCATAACTGCAGCAGAGTTTCAACATGTGTTCCTAAATGATGGGAAGAAAAAAACCGACGAGGATGCAGTATATAAGTATGCTTGTCGTCTCATCAAAAAATATGATGTTGATGGCGATGGTCGGCTCAACTTTGATGAATTCGTCAAATATATATTGACAATGTGAGGGATTCTTAACCCTTCTTATCATGTCTTACAGTGAAATCTCATCAAGATTCAGATAACAAGATTTTGCCTTTCTTAATCTCATCAATTTAACAAGATTTTGTTTTTTCTTTTGATAGGAGGGCTAAAACTGCAAGGGTCGAAAAAGCTACCGCATATATCTCGCAAAAAGTTAATAGATTCGTCAAATTCGTGGTAAAAGCCTTAGTCTGAAGGAAAAACAAAAATGATTTATCATGTCTTACCTCGGTCGTGCTTCTGGTTTCCATTCCCATTAGAATATTGATGATAAATCTCCTCGTGCTCTGCCAAAAGAACTACAGTGAATATTTTCTTCATCTTTAGCAATGTTTTTTTAGTTATTTCCTGTGGTTGCTTTGTTAAAGCTCTTTAGTGTTATGTCAAGTGTGAACTCATGTGTTTGATCATTTCTTTATTTCTCTTGTACTTTTTTGAAAAGAATGTTGTACAAATAAATGTACAGTATTTTTTGCTGCCTCAACCTTTTGGTTAGCTTTTTCGTGCCCTTTAATCTTTGGTTCCATCTCTAAAGTTTATAAGAACAGAAAACAGAACAACATATATTTCTGTGTTTTTGACAGCACTAGACAAATATTATTACTCACTTGAATCAATAAGTTAATCTTATCACGATTATATTTAGTTTGGATTTACATAACTCTAGAACTCTAGATTGTACCAACTGATCTCAAGCCTAAACTAGAATTTACAACACGTGATTCTAGTTCTATCCAATATGAACACTAACATCAAAGCTTCTTCTTCTTATTTGCTCAAAGTTTTAGGCGCCGTATAATCTCTTGCTTATTTTAGAAGTGTTAACCTATTTACTTCTACCCTCAACCCCTTTTATACAAAACCCTGGAACTAGCAAAACCTAAGTTTCATAATTCTCAGCTTTAGTTTTTTTTTTTCTCTACCTTTTGCATATACTGAAATATACGAAAGGGCCTTAGGAAAACCTCCTTGGCACGTCATCTTTTCTTCCGTGTACATAGCTTTCCAAGTCTTCGCTCTCCTCATGTGTATGTGCTGCTCACTTCATATCTCCAGTCTCTCCCTTTTTGACTTGACTTGATGCTCAAACATATCTTATCTGCAACAGCCAAACACAAGCACAAGCCAATATACCAAGCAAATGCACAAACTCAACCAAATTGATCACCAAGAAATGCATAGTTTAAAAACAGGGTTCAAAGAACGTCAGGTTTAAAAGAAGCACAAAGGCAACCGAGAATAGGGTTCCAAAAATAGTAAAATACAGGGAGACATAAGTGGACAATAAGTTCACACAAAAAATGCTCCTTCATACTAAACTCCCCCATAGTAACTACTCCACCACTGAAGTAATGTCATCGACCTCATCATCTTCTTCTCCCTCTGCTTGAGCACATAGTTAAGTCAAAAACGCAATATGACATACAATTTCCAGCGGTCAAGATTTGAGAGAGACTTACCTGTGGATAGAATCCTTTGAAGAATCCGAATTGCAGCCGTCAGAGTTCTGTGGTCTCGGGATGAGAGAGTGAAAGCCTTAGGTCCAGCAACATTTGCGGTTGAGACTTCACGTCGACTGCGTTCCTTCTTGACAGCTTGAGTTGTTTCCTGTTTGACCGTGACCAGGGTCGCAACTCGCTTGTAGGTGAGGATCGACGTCAGAGGGATCTCGTGATCTTGAACTATTGGGGCCTCTCGCAGAAGGAGTTGATAGATGAGGCTCGGAAAGACAAGATTCCACTTTTTATCACCGAGATGAGACTGATACACGACCTGATCAAACACAACCTTCTAAAAGTCAATCGTAATCGCATTGCAGACCTTCTACACCATCTTCACTTTGTTCGGCCTAGGATATCCTGGATTTTCTATTGGCATCCAGTTGAAACAACATATGCGATACAGCAGAGCTTTGTCTTGTGAGAATTGAGTAGGGGTCATCTTCTTTGGAAGTTTCTCTTTGTCATCAGACATAAAGCAGGTAAGTGCTTCATCTGACAGCTCCTTCATTTCTGCCACCTTTACCTGTGCAGCAAGCGCCTTCACACCAAACAGTTCATTGATTCGATCCATCAAAAACTCATACTCGTGTCCTCGAACCCACACAATAGTGGCATCATCAACAGGTTTGACAAACGAGAGATGGGTGTAAAACTCTAGGACCACATCTTTCGCATAAGGCTCCACCAAACTCAGAGTACTCCCCAAACCAGCATTGACAACAAGTGACTCAATTTCCTTGTGTTCGTCAGCAAACTCAACCATTCGTTCCTCCAGAACCGGGCGAGACGCGAAAGACACATACCTTTCTTGTGCTTCGGCTGATTCACACCAAGTGTCATCAAACTTCAGAACTCATTTGCCTTTGGCCTATCGAGTCTTCTTTCGGCTGGGCTCAGACACTGCAGGGGATGGAGGGACGACAGTGGACTGAGCGGCTCGCTTCCTAGTCGCATAGCAGCAAGAAGTGGCAGTAGATCCTTTGACCGCCGAAGATTGTTTTGACTGGTTGTCAGAACCACCGGTTGAAATTCCTCAACACTTGGAGACTCTGAATCGACCAGTTAGATGATCGGTTCTTTAGGCGAGTTTGCAGGAGCCATTCCCCCTCGATACACCACTATGGCCTGTTGATTGGAGCCAACATGCACCGGTTCAGACTTCAAGGCATCCAGTGTGTCAGGTTGAGGAGTTGGGGCCATGGATCCGGGTTGTAGAGACGCTGATTCTGGCAGATCTGGTTCCGGACCGACTGAACTAGTACCGACAAGACGAGACAAACTGGAGTGAAATAGATTAACCTTCTTCGAGTTCGAGAGAGAAGGAAGGAGAAAAGACAATTTTTTTTTGTTAGACAAAATACTAAGAACCATTTGCCTTTCCTCTCCCGGAACCCTAATATATTCCCTCCAAACCGTTGTAGCTTTTCGAGACGGGCTTGAACCTGTTGGGCTTAGTCCAGAACTGTGCACACACACTTGAATTCCATGTTAGAAGGCTTTGACATAATCTATGTTAACCTCAGTAACATCATGCATAAAAGACCTATGTGACACTCTCAAATTCACACCACAGACATTTAAGATCATTCAAACATTTATAGAGGGATCCATAAATAAAGCTTAGATTATGAGAGTTAGATATCTTTTGTGAGTCATCTTACATCTGTTGTGTGTACTAATATGGACGTCCACAAGTTGGTCCAGAACAAGAAACATAAACATGTTGACTATACACAAACCAATGATCTTCGTCCTCAGAGGCTAGCTTTCACACCATCATGTCTTTCTTCCAAGATCTCTTAGTTTTCATCTCGGACCACAGAGCTTTGTCATTCAACATATATTCAGTCAGGGATCATCTTCTATTTCTTTTAAGCCATCACTTGATCCGTCATAAATCTATATTATCAAGCTCAGCTATACAGTGGCACAAAATCTCTGTATAGTCTCTATTTGAGCAGCTATTATTATTAATTTTTTTTTTGGTAGTAATGTTGCTCAGACTGCATTTATGTATCAGACTACCCTTTCCTTTTTCCTGTGCTTAACACTCCTCTATAAGTCACCGTTCTGAGTACACCTCAGGATAACACGATAGGCAGTCCTCTTCCTCTGAGATCCGAATTCTACTACTTACCTTTTTTTTATTATCACCATGTTCCTGTCCTAGACCAACTCAAACACACACAAAGATTAGATTTAATAAACACCAATAGACTTCCTTAGATTAGTAAATCAATTAGAGTCCAAATATTTGGTAAATAAATCAGCCAATTGATTATTTGTACTCACATGACCAATTTCTATGAATATCCCTTCTACAAGCACACAAATAAAATGATGCATAATGTCTATATGTTTAGTTCGTGAGTGCTGAACAGGGTTTTTAGCAATGTTTATAGCACTCTCGTTGTTACAAATAATTAACATAGATTCAGAGGTCATACCATAGTCAGCTAGCATCTGTCTCATCCATAGAAGTTGTGTGCAGCATCTTCCAAGTGCAATATACTCAGCTTCAGCAGTCAATAATGACACGCTGCTCTGTTTCTTGCTATGCCAGGATATCAATTTGTTACCAAGATAGAAGCATCCTCCACTCATACTTCGTCGATCGTCGAGACACCCAGCCCAGTCTGCATCACATTACCCACCTAGATTCTTGTTTGTGTCCCTTGAGTAGTGAAGCCCCAAATCTGTTGTGCCCATCACATATCTGATAACACGTTTCACTGCAGTTATAT